TAGTTATAAAGATACAACTATAATTTATTATACATAGCAGGTGTTCAATCGTTCACAATTTTCTAAACCACTACAAAATGGTGGCAAATGAATTATAATAGATATTTTGTGAGAATTGATATCCATCAAAATTGGGTATGGAGTCCAAGGTGGCCCATTTTCCCCAGAAGTCAGAGGTCACAGGGCCCAACACCCTCAGTAACCAAAGGAGGTTCTGAGGACCCATCATGCCAAGGTAGGGAATGGAGCCCAGTGTTGGCTCTACTTCTCCAAGACATCCACAGTGACTCTTAGTCACCTCTCCTTCTTTGAATTCTACCTTCAGCCAGAGTTTGGGCCATAACACAAAACACTTAATTGTATTCTCCACATAAAAACTTTAATTCAAGAAAACAAACACATTGATAAGTTATTTCCCACCAAAAAACCTGAAATAATAAATGTCACAACAGAATAGGGGAAAAAGAAGATGACAGAGAACACTCTCTCTAACTAGGAAAAAACAGTGCTTTTTAAAATGTTTCTCATGAGACTATGGCCTAAAAGTTTTTAAAATTAATTTCAGATTCCTCTTTCTACCGGAATTTATCTTTTAATAGTTTCTCTAATATAATTCCATTTTCTATATCTATCAGCATCTAAGACCCAAAAGTAAAACACAGATAAGTTTTACTTGTAGTAACTAAGCAATGTTCAAAATGAAAATTAGGCATGTAGCTAAACTAAGAAAAAGCATAAACAAATGTAGCAAACAACATAGTTAGTCTTTCTTACTCTTAACCCTTTTTGGCAAATATAACACATTGTTGAATACTGTGCTGAGTACACTTCTTTACGAACTGATGCTATTGTCTCAAACAGCAATTTCTCAAAAATGATAAAGCACCAAAGTAAATTTCATTAAAAGAATTGACATTCACAGTTTAGAAAAGTTCCTTATGACAAGATTTTACATTGAAGTAAAAATGTAAACTTCTGAATGAAAACCATTTGCATTCGTTAAGGCACATCTGGACACCTCCAGGCATTCATATTTATAACTATATTATTATTAATTTCAGTAATAAGGGATTTCTAAAAACACAGTCTGTCCCTGAACACAATCTGCTGGGTGGGTTGGATAACTAGTACGTGGGAGAAGCAAGGTAGCACTCACTGTCACCCTAGAGATTACCCAGACAAATCTGTTCCTGTAATAAACAGTACAGAATTCACAGTTGAAAGAAGTCAATAGATGCATACTCCTCATTTTCTAGACCCCACATTGACTCAGGCCATCTTTGTCTACAACTGCACCTACACTTGAAATGACTCTAGCATGTCTAACACCATCCTACCTTATATTTAACACAAAAATTCCAAAAGAAAAAGGGGAATTTTCTAAGTGGGAAACTAAGTAGAAATCTTACAGGGGATCCCCTACCACAGGGGATCTCCACTCAACCCAAATAGACATTAAAGACCTAGAGATGCAGTTACAGTCAAGCAAGATCAAGAATAGCCTTCCTTTCTTAGGTTAGAAAATAAAGCTTTTTGAAGAGCCTCGATTACAGTTTAAAAAATGCTTTTAGTTACTTGGGGCTTAAAACTTAGCCATAACTCTACTATAAACTTAGAAATTTAACCTTACAACAATTAAGCAAATATTCTCTATTAGTTTAACCAATTTTTGACCACTTGATGTTGAAGTTTATTTACTAAAATTGTGTTTCAAAGACTAACTCAGATGTAACACTGTACTGTTTTTCCTTTTTCACCACATCACACTTTCACTTGGATTAATATCTAAAAGCTAGAAGCAGGGTAGGTAATTTTATATGACAAAATATGAAACATAATGACTATGACAGGCATTATGGCATTTTCATATGTTTATATTTTTAATACTTTGCAAAAAATCTTAGAACTTCCCTAGTAACTCCTGAGTTGTAGATTTTATTTTCTCCTTGAAGCTGGAAACAAGTAGTTTCTAAACCTAAATTCAAAATAAAACTATACAACATAATTTTTGAACTGACAACTAGACTTGATTTAGAGAAAGCAAACATTTCACTTCTATCATATTCTTTTCAATTTCTTATGAGATTGAGCATGAAAATGTATAATGGTACAATATTCTTAATGTTATAAACTTTTTGTATACTGTACAGAAATATATTTTATAATTATTTATCACTTTACAGGATTTCAAAATATTTTCACATATATTATCTTCTTTGATATAAAAAAGCACAAAATTTTAGAAATGTACTAGACTAATCAAGCGACATAATATCTATTTGCCATGAAATACAAGTTTGTATCTTATCAATAGCCAATATTTAGTATCCTTGCACTCCATGATACAATAATAAAGACTATATATGTGCAAAGATTCAATAATATTTCTAGCTATTTGGTCATGCTTCACTGTATTTTTTAGAACAGCTTCTCAGTAAATTTCTGCAAGCATATGTTAGTTATTAAAAATATAAAACATAGGAGTCAAACCCAGGGAACTATTTCATATATAAGACACACATAAATACATATCTATAGATCTTATTTTAAAAAACTATTAAATGTACAAAGTATTCTTAATAGAAAAAAAAATTCTAAACACTCAATTTTATCTGTAAAAGGAATGACAATCCTCTTGTTCTCCACTGAATGATTTTCTCGTAAGTTATTTACAGATTAAATTTAGGAAACATACTGTTAACATGTGAATATGCATTTTAAAAACACCATAGTGGAAAAAGGCCACTATTTAAGATGGAAGCCAGGCAGTTTTCCCCTTGAGACTAAATATTTTCAAATTAAATAGTATAATATAATCAAAGCTCCTAATTAAGAATAATATTCTAACAGTTAAATTGTTAAATGAAATATGAAATGTTTTTACTTCTAAGGACTCCAATATATTACAATTTCCAAGTAATTCAGATTCATTTATTTTAGTATCTGGTAACTTTTTATTAATATTTTAATTTCTGGTCACAAATGTTTAATATTATGCATTTAGAAAGTGGTCAGAATACCTTACTAGATATGCAAAATTGGTAAAATATTTTGAATTAAATTAATCGTATTCCTACAACTCAGCCTAATTTGACAATCTACTCTCATTCACCCAGTAAAACTGTTTATTGAGCTCTATGGAGACATTGCTAGAACTAGCACCACGTAAGAGGGTTCATGTATTTCTTGCATGTAAAATAGAAACTGAAATGTAAAATCAGATTATTTCCTAATATCCTAATACTAACTTCATGGAACAATACAAAGGAAAAATTGGCATATTATGGGAACTAAAAATGAGAAAATGTTCTATACGATACTTATTGGAATATGGTATACAACATGAGTGCTACTCGATTCATATAAAAATTAGGGTTACACAACTGAGATGTTTCATGTAAACTCCAAAGCAATAAAATCATATTTCTAAAGGCATACTATTGGTGTGATAATTTTCTAGAAATCCACTGCTGCAAATGTAGATCAAAACAGGCAACAAAAGATGATATGTGATACGAAGCAGGACATATTAAAAATTCTCTGGGGATGTTAAAGTGAATAGAACTTTTCTTAAAAGCCTAAGAGAGTCAAAACAGTCAATTCCTTTCTAAATGAAATAAGTGAAAATGTTTTATCTGTTCATTGCTTTAACTATTATTTGCAGTTATACTTTGAAGTTCTCATCACAATATTTCTGATTGTTTTCTGACTTGTGATAATTAATAATAATACAGGAAATAAAATTATTTGTTCTTAACCAGTGTTATATAACATATTAAGTGCTTACTAGAACTGAATATATGTAATTTCAGATTTTTTCTCAGTTTCAAAGTTTGACAATTTATTGATGTATCAAACTATGTATATTTTTAAAAACATAACTGTGGACTAAGCGACACTACGCATTTCATAATCCACATAACACTGAGATATTCATGGTTTTAGGGACTACTACCTTGTTGACAGTGCAAGGGGCATGCCTTTTAAAAATGAATAATGTCCATTCTTATTTTTTTATTCTTCAGTCATTTGCATTCAAAATCAACCACCAAATTTATATCCAATAGCCATAGAAAGCAAAGTTCTTTTCAGGGACTTTTCCATCAAAATTTGTTTTTAAGCACTTAATCCTGAAAACATTTTTTTATTAATTTAATTAAACAAAGCAAATCTGTGAAATTATACATTTAAAAGTCTCCCTCTGTTCCATTTAGATTTCAACATAGGAAATCATCCTAATGCATACAATTGGTATCTGTCTGTTGGGGACTGGTTTCAGGAAACCCCACGGATACCAAATTCCAGGGATGCTCAAATCCCTTATGTACAGTAGTGTAGTATTTGCATATGACTTACGCACATCCTTCTGTATACTTTAAATCATCTCTAGATTTCTTATACCTAAAACATACAATGTGAATGCTATATAAATAGTCGTTACACTGCATTGTTTAGGGAACAATGACAAGAAAAAGTCTGTACATGTTCAGTACAGTTGCAACCATCTGTTTTTTTTTCCAAATATTTTTGATCTGTGGTTGGTTGAATCCATAGATGCAGAACCCACGGATATGGAGAGCCGACTGCACTAGAAACGCACATGCTAGCAGAAAAAGACGGCGACTCAAGGCGGAGCCTGGAGAGAGGGGAAGAAGAAAAGACAGCAGGAAAGATGAGCTGGGCAGGTCAGAGCTCCCCAAGGGTACCCATTTCACTTATCAGAATCTAAAAAGAAACACACTGAGGTACTGAAACCAAAGAATCCGAATTACTTTCTAAATACATTTGAAAAGACCAAACTCTTTTGGCTTAAACAAATTAATTCATAAATCAGATAAAGGCATGGCAATCCAATGAAATTACCCTCTTGATTTTCTTCATGTAGACTATACTCTCACGAAAGAACATATTTGATATATCAGATACCACAATTACTTCTAGATAGATACCTTGAAAATAATTTAAAAGCAATTATATACAGCATTTAAAAACTCACATCCTAAAAGCATTACAGAATACATTCATTTATTGGGTCTTGTCTTAAAACTTCTTATTAAATATTCAGTTCATTGTCATCCGAAATGAAAAACAAACAACAAAATGCTTACAACAGAAATCACGAACAGATGGCCAAACTTTGAAATGTGACTTCATCTCTGTTCTTTAGGATACATTATACAGTGTTTTTTTCCTCCCTTACCTAAACCAGCTTGTAGGTTTTCTGATAATTCACTGTAATAGTATAACATCATGGCAACTTGTATTTCCAGGATCTTCACAGTCTCTATTAGGACTTTCACTTTCTTCATCTTTTTCAGAAGCAGATACACTCTCCTTTTTTTCTGTGGGATCAGTAACTGTTTTTTCAGGTTGAGAATTCACATTTTCAGCATCGCTGTCCTTCTCTGTGTTTCTCAGCTTGGCATCGTCATTGCTGGGCTCCTGGTCGGGCCTGCCTGTCTCTTCCCCAGGCTCTTTTGGTGCCACTTTTTTTTCTTCAGCTGTTTTGCTATTTAAATGAACAGCTGAGGAGGAATTTTTGGAGTCCTTGGATTTTTTGTGCATAGAAGTTTGACTGCTATGACTGGAGGCGAGAGGGGCAGGCATTTTCTGGGCTTTGCTTCCCTCTGACTGTTCTTTCCTAGGCGGCCCCCAGATAAAATTCTCTGAAGGCGTGTAATGTTTCTGGGCGAACCGCAGGAGGTTTCTCCTTTCTCGTCTGTCTCTAATTGTATAAACAAAATACTCCAGAGCACTCTGCTTAATATTGGGAATAGTATTTTCCACAAGAGCCTCATGAAGAATAAATTTTACAAGAGGAGATTTAAAACTTTCATATCCAAGCTCACCAAGGCTTTTAAGAATACGGGTGATTCTTAAATAGTTGTGCTGGGACCTGGAAGAGAGGATTGAATAAAATGAGGGGGAAATACAGGTAGAAAAAAGCAGGAGAATGAAAACCACTGGAAAAACATTTTTTAAGGAACTATAAGCCATGGAAATATGCCTTGTAATGACTTTTTAAAAAATCAAATTAGATACCATTAAGAAGAATAAATCAGAGGGTGTTAAACCCTTATGACTCAATGTAATGTCAACCTATGTGAAACTAAAATATATAAAATAAACTCCCCTTGTTTGTTCAGTTCTTCATATTAGAAAAATATTTAGATTTAAATTTATTACCACTGTTGTTGAATTGTTTGTTCATTAAATACACTGAGGACAAATGATCTAACTGAGCACTTATTTGCAACAACACTAATGTATTCTACTCATCATAGGTAACCACTGTGAACATAAACGCATTAGCTAACAGCTGAATGGTACAATTTATAGTGTCAGCTGATCAGTAAAATCCACCATATAAGCCAATTCACAAGGACAGCAGCAAAAACCACTCTACTTTGCTAGCATGATTCTGACAAAGAATTCAAACCTGACTTATTTAGCAGAGCATAGTTTAACAATTAAGAGTATGGGCAGACCTGAGTTCACGCCCTGGTCTGTCACAGAGCAGCTAAGTCAAATTAGGATATCTCTCTAAGTCTTGGTATCCTCATCTCTAAAATGCAAAAAGTGGCCCTCAACTTCCTGGACTGTTGTAATAACCAAATGAGATGACACACACTGAGGGTAAGTAGAAGTCAATAAATACTGGATACTATTTAAAACCATTATTATCATTATTTAAAGATTTGGTATTAAGGACCACCATATTTGTACCTTTCCCAACTTAATAACCTTATTCTCTTCCATCCCTGATCATTGTCTCTTCCTCTTTCCCTAGAAGATAATTTTAAATCTTATTTCTAATGGCCTTGATTCCAAAGATGCATTTTCCCCAGATTGCACTAACAGCTTTTCTCTCTGTCTCAAAATTAAGGCCATAATCGGATGAATGCTTTCCAAATCTATTTTGTCACAATTCATAATCTATCCCCCCCCCTCACTCAGCTCAACCCTTGCCTTATTATACATGTCTGGCTAAATTCTAAAGGGATTTTCAGTTACATATATTAATCATGAGTCTTATCAGCAGCCCAGGTATTTATTTACCCAATATTGCCACACAACGATGACCATCACTTATTTCTAACCTGCTAAAACCTTTCTATACCTCAGACACTGAATTTTCTACAAGCATTGCATATACTTGCCCTAGCTTCCAAAAGTGCTTGGAGTTTTTACTTAGGAACAACTAGCAAATTATTTGGGAAGAGTGGAGAAAGATGTTGATGAATTATTTAAGGGAAGGAAGGGGGTGATTCCATGATCGTACATTTTAATGAGAAAGTTTGTTTGGATAAAACAAAAACCTTAATGATTCAGGCTAAACAAACAACAAAAAGACAAGCCTGACCGTTTTTATCATCTCCATCCTTCTGGATGTTTATCAAAAAAGTATTACCTTAACATTCAACTCTTTGAAGCCCAAAGAATAAAACATAGCACAGATATGTTTCAGTTTTATAAATCTGTATTTTTTAGTAGTTAGGCCGTAAGAGTCTTTTGAGACAATACAAATTTGGGTAAAGTTAAGACAATGTGCCACTAACAGCAGGACTGACTTGGTTGTTGCATTCATATAGAGTTTGTACACTCTAAAACCTTAGTGACAGTGCTCTTGGGCAACATCTGCTTTATACATCTGCGGGAGAAGACATATGGAAAGGTAGAAGAACACTTTCAAAAAAAGAGCTATACGGCAAAACAAAATTTACTCTGTTTGCAACCAGCTCAATTTCACATAACCAATCTAAGACAAAAGGTCAAGTTAAATTTTTCTATATATTTATAGGTATCTACATTCTCCAATTAAATATATTTACATAACAATATAAAGTGACAAAAACTTGGGTTGAAGAAGATGATGATCAGGATTATGGAACAAAACTATAAAATAAAGCAATTGGTGTTTCAGTATGATTTGAAATAAATGTCATAATGAAAGACTAAATAGAAGAGAGCAGTGTGGCTAAAACCCTTTTAATGTTAGAAGTGCCTTGAGGTTGCACAGCAGGTAAAAGAAAGAAGCCGAGACTCTAGACAGAGGCAAGGGCAGTAAATAATGTTGAAACTATAAGCACAACCAACTAGGTAAAGGCACACAAAAGTCAAGAACCAGAAGACATAAAAGTTAAAAGACATAAAATAAAATAAAAGACATAAAATAAAAGACAGGGTCTAAAATATGGCTCCATAATCCAAGTTGATTACAAATAAAATTGGAAATGCATCTTAGTGGTTGTTACATATATTTGTAGTCTCATGTTTGAAAATATTTCACCTCTTTTAGTCCTGGTCACTTGTTCGCTCAATGTTATTTCATTTTACTTTGATTCAATATTTTTCCTCTGCCTAGCTACTATAAATATATTGAGTTCCCTGCCTACTCTAAAAAACTCATGATGCCATATGCATTAAAACACAAATACGTTATGACATTTAAGAATAAATCAGAAAAGAACCCAACTGAAGAAGAAAATGGAATAGACATTTTCATAGAATCCCCCATAATTTGTTCACATCTAGTCAATAAAAATTTTTGACAACAAAACAAGAAAGGAAATGTGTTTTCTGATAGATTCTAAGGCAATTAATTCACAGCTAGATAAGCTCTACGCAGTACACATGGGAAGGAAACAGAGAGACAATAGGTGGTGGAAAGAAAGGGAGCTGGATGGGGCAGAGGAGTGAGAAGAGACTGTTAGTTCAGGCGCCCCGCCCCTGCCTCGAATCAGGAAATCAATTAATTAAAGCCTTCAAAAAGGGCTCTATTTCCACCTATGAATCAGAAGATTTGAAGATAAAATCCCATGGAGGATTTAAGCTGAAGACCATATTTAGTTCATTGTTTACTCATTCAACAAAAATTTATTGTACTAAGCAAGCTTGCTATTCCAACCAAAAATAACAAGTTGAGGAGAAATAGTCTCTAAAATGATAGTCATGAGTCCATGAAAGATAAGGTATTATTAAATCCTCTCCAAAGATTTACTTTTACTGTCACCACCCTTCATGTCAATAGGTTTCTTGCATACAGCTTTCTTTGACAGTGTGACATAAATGCTTAGAAACTTTGCTCAGAGATAACTACCCGCATTGCTTAGGTAGAGACATATATATTTATGTGTTAAATGCCCTGTATAAATCAAATTTAACTTGAGTTATGAGTTAATAGGTCTTGTAGTCAGGAACATAAAGCTTTATGACCATATCTTTTGTGTTTTAGTACAAGCTTACCATTTTAATATTGTTGATTATAACTAATAAACTTAGAGGAAGACTTAACATTAATATTTACGCTCATTTTACCAAAGCAAGACAAAAGTTCTAGAAAGACACAAAAAAATTAGTTAACAGATGCACAAAACTCATATTATTTTGGCCAAAGAGAAACTGCTTAGGTTAGTTTTAATTTTCTTTTCTCTTAGTACTTGCCCAGTTTAGCTAATTACA